GACCTCAAAGTTTCCCTGGACTTTAATGTCCATTGGTGTCAAAGAATCAAGTTTCATGCTTCCAAACTGCTTTGAAATCGTTACCTGCCTAGCCGAGGTCTGTTCCATGAATTCGTAAACTCCAAGAGCTTTCTGCAACTGCTCCGTTCATACTCTCCGGTGGGTTTCCTGATTTCCAATCACCTATTTGACTCCGGCGATCTTTATATTGATGTTCATTTGGTAGGTTCATAAATTCTTACTTTTTATTAAGCTCAATCTTTCAAAACTCTTCTGATTTACTTTGAATCTGTTTATTTGCCATCTGCGGCCTTCTTTTCTCGTCTGTCTTCAAGTTTTTGATTTCTTATTGCTAAAATGCCTGGAACTGTTCTTTGTCATATCCGCTTTCTGTTGCTAGCATCATGTCTGGTTCATTACTTTCTTGTTCTTCACATACTTACTTAGTGCCTGTGTTCTTGGCTTTATTCTTTGAACTTTGTCATCTTCTTGACTTCTATTTTTTTCTCTTCTTGTCTTTCTTGTTGTATTTCCAGATTCTTGCCTTCGTTTCTGTTTTCCGCATAGTCTTAGAACCACGTCCTTTCTTGAAATTGTTGCCGAGATAGTGGTAGAGAAGCTCTTCCAGCTGATTGCCAATGCTGAACCACCGTCAACCGTTTGAAGTAGATTAGTCCGACGTTCTTGCCTTAGTCCCTAGTTCTTAGGGTCTTCATCTTTGTACTTTTGTTTTCTTTGCATATGTCACCTTTTTTGCTTCTAAAAAATGTCTGTTGTTGGCCGATGTTAACATCCCTTGCTTCTTGATTATCAATCCTTTTTCCACTGTATTTGATAGCCATGTCGGGTAATTGACTCCTCGGATTTCCCTGAGCTCCAGAAGTCTGTCTACTTCTTCCTCTACTGCTTCGGCATGCATCAACGTTGGCCCTCTTGCTCGTTGGATTACAGGTTTGGCCGACCTGTCGACGTTCAATTTGTGGCATGTGACCTCGGGGTCAATGCCAGGCATTTCATAAGGTGTCTAAGCAAATACCTCAATGTTTGCTGTCAAACAAGCTTCAAATTCTCTTTCTTCTTTTTCGACTAAGCTTGAGAAGAAAGAAGCGTTCTTCATCCCCTTCCTAGACGAGGCTTTTATTCAGTGCCTCTTCACTCTTCTCGGCTGGCTCCTTGCCGACATCATCTAGGACCTCTATGTCCTCGTTTTCAATCTCTACCTTCTCTGGTTCTCGAATGCTGCAGGTGGATTTCATTGCTGCCATGGAGCAATTCTCCGCCTGCAGTGGATCCCCTCTGACTTCTTCAATCCCATGTTCTGTTGGTGAATCGTAGTAGTTGATACAATGTTGAGGGAACTGCCCCCATTGTATGCAACCATGGCCTTCCCAAGATGATATTGTATGGCGAGAGCGTGTCAATCACCATGAATTCTGTCTTGATCTTCTTCTAACTGCTCTTGCATGATTTTATACTTAGAATATTTTGCATATCTTTCATACTTTGCCTCCTTTATGCAATCTTCTCGGGGTTACATACCTCGGGTATAATAGCTACAAAACTTTTACTTCGGCAAGATACTGACCTGCAAACTTTTCATAAATTCAAACAAGTGTGAAACATATACTACTCAATGTTAACTTTGCAAACTTTTTCTCAAGTTTCAACAAGTGTTTAAACGGTGATCTCGGTCTAGCCTACTTGTAAATTGCTACAAATTTCAACAAGTGAAGACAAGGAATCAGCTTGACTCCAACTTGTAAATTGCTACAAATTTCAACAAGTGAAGACAAGGAATCAGCTTGACTCCAACTTGTAAATTGCTACAAATTTCAACAAGTGAAGACAAGGAATCAGCTTGACTCCAACTTGTAAATTGCTACAAATTTCAACAAGTGAAGACAAGGAATCAGCTTGACTCCAACTTGTAAATTGCTACAAATTTCAACAAGTGAAGACAAGGAATCAGCTTGACTCCAACTTGTAAATTGCTACAAATTTCAACAAGTGAAGACAAGGAATCAGCTTGACTCCAACTTGTAAATTGCTACAAATTTCAACAAGTGAAGACAAGGAATCAGCTTGACTCCAACTTGTAAATTGCTACAAATTTCAACAAGTGAAGACAAGGAATCAGCTTGACTCCAACTTGTAAATTGCTACAAATTTCAACAAGTGAAGACAAGGAATCAGCTTGACTCCAACTTGTAAATTGCTACAAATTTCAACAAGTGAGGCTTAACTTCGGTTAAGCATCATCTCGGCTTAACTTCGGTTAAGCATCGTCTCGGCTTAACTTCGGTTAAGCATCGTCTCGGCTTAACTTCGGTTAAGCATCGTCTCGGCTTAACTTCGGTTAAGCATCGTCTCGGCTTAACTTCGGTTAAGCATCGTCTCGGCTTAACTTCGGTTAAGCATCGTCTCGGCTTAACTTCGGTTAAGCATCATCTCGGCTTAACTTCGGTTAAGCATCGTCTCGGTTTAACTTCGGTTAAACATCATCTGGGCTTAACTTCGGTTAAGCATCATCTCGGCTTAACTTCGGTTAAGCATCCTCTCGACTTAACTTTGGTTAAGCATCATCTGGGCTTAACTTCGGTTAAGTATCATCTCGGCTTAACTTTGGTTAAACATCATCTAGGCTTAACTTCGATTAAGCATCGTCTCGGTTTAACTTCGGTTAAACATCATCTGGGCTTAACTTCGGCTAAGCATCATCTCGGCTTAACTTCGGTTAAGCATTATCTCGGTTTAACTTCGGTTAAACATTATTTCGGCTTAACTTCGGTTAAGTATCATCTCGGCTTAGCTTCGGTTAAGCATCATATTGGTTTAACCAACTTGTAAATTGCTACAAATTTCAACAAGTGGTAAACGCATTCTTCTTCTCTCTGCCCCCCCAGTGTGAACTTAAAACCCACTTGGGTTCTCATCATACATGTAGCTTCGACCTTGTCGCCGAGGTTTAATTCAAGCCGAGGTTGTCGGCCTTGGTTTCTCTATTGATCTTGCTTGGCTCCAACCTGAGTTTGATTTTCGGGCTCGCATCGGCGAGCCATTTCTCTTTTCTTGTTCCGACGCCTTTGTTCCCGGCATGTCCTCCTCGGCCCTAGCATACTTCTCAATTATGGCCAACTTTAGTCTGATCTTGTGTGTTTCCTTTTTATCTTCTGGGACCTGAGATCTGCTCATTGTGCTCTTCTCTTCTCGGACTCAGGTGCCGAAATCTTATCTTCTAGAATCTTGGATCTGCTCACTCAAGTTGAGCTCTTCTTTTCTCGGACCTACTTATCTAGGCCGAGATCATGTCTTCTGGGATCTGGGATTCGGGTTTTGCTCACTCAGGTTGAGCTCTTCTATACTTGAATGTTATCTCCTTGGGAGCGCTTATGCCCCCTGTCTTTGCATCCCTTCTGGAAGGGTCTCCGTTCCTCCGCAAGTATCTATCCTTCTATATTTGGAGGTCATCTTCGTTGTGGTATCCGTTTCGATCTGTTGTCTTTGGTGCGTCACCTTCCTGGCCGGCTTCTTTCACTCCGTGACTCTGGTCACGAGTTTCTGTGTTGCGATCGTCCCCTTCAATGTCGAGATCAATAGGTTTCCTATTCCCAGTAGGAGCATTGTCTCTAATCTAATCCTTCTGTCCGTCATTGGCCATCTATTCTTCTTTCTTTCCCACAGACGGCGCCAAATTGTGTGGGTGATTTTCCGACCACACTGTCCGCTTAGTAACCAGCTGGAGAGCACTGGCAGAATAGATGACACCTGACTGACCTGCAACAAAAATATAAGAATCCCGCGGTGGTTTCGACCACCCGGGAGCACTCCGACGATCAAGTCAATATATCTCTCAAAGATAAATTAAGTACTAAACTCACAAGCTTGAGTATCAAAAGCATACCTTAGACCCATGGGGGTGCCTTTCTTTTATAGCCAATACAATCCTAGTCCCAATAGGAGCCTGACCCTAATGGACTTAGGATTACTGCTAATCTGGGACTCCCAGTGGGATTAGGATAAACTCTCTAAGAGTCTTATCTTTACCCAAACTGAAGTCTTCTCTCAATCTAGGACTCTTATCCATATCCAAGTTGAGTTCCCTCTTCATTCTAGGACTCTTGTCCCTTATCCGCTTATCTCGGATTTCGATATCTTCGGAGGCAACCTCGGCCTAGCCGAGATGACCTCGGCACAACGACCAAGACACGTGGCACCTCGGCTGACACGTCGGCGTCACCTTGCCACGTGTTGGTACTCAAAAAATATATCCCCACAATTTTATTTATTTTTAGTTTTAGTTATTTTATTTTATTTTAAAGTCACGTAACATCTCTACCTTTGATGTCAATAAATATACACTTACCTCTTCTCATAAATTCAAACTTAAATTTTTTTGTTATTTTGTTCCTTTTATATTTGATTATTTTTTATTTTAGCCATTGAAGTTTTTATTTTCAACAATGATTCATCTCCCTTTTTCCCCCACCCCCTTTGACCCCCTCTCTCTCTCATTAGTTACTTTTTCTTTTTCTTTTTCTTTTTTTCCTACTCCTCCAATCACCACCCGCCACGTGGCAAAGGGGGGTGAGGGGGTGACCCCCAAAAGGGGGTCCCAAGCATTATTCTTTTATTTTTTTACTTTGGCTTGTTTATATTTCAATTTTTTTTTTTAGTTTACTCCTAGATTTAATTTTTGTTCAAAATTAAATAAAAAATACAACTTTAACTCCCACGTAACACAAAAATATATTATTATATTATAATTTGTGTATGTGTTAAAGTTGTAAATTATATATAATAAAATAATTTCACACTTAAATTAGCTTTTGGAACAAATTGAAGAAACTTAAAATATAAAAGGGTCAAAATAAAAAAAAAAATTTAATGGCCAAAATAAAAAAATAACCAAACGCATAGGTACAAAGTGTAATTTAACTATAATCTATGATATATTTGTAATTATCGATATCAAAATTCCGATAAATTTCGGCCAATAAAAATTACAATATGATACGTGGGCTGATATTTAAAACTTGGTCTGGTTTTCTTGTGGATATGGAAGACGCGGAGGATGCAGAAGGATTGAGTGAGTGGGAGCAAATTCAATCACCCTGGCACCCAACATCTCCCACCACCACCACCACCTCCTCCGCCGCCAGCGGCAGCCCAACCACCACCCACTCAATAGGATTTGACGGCGGCTCGGTGGCGGTGATAACTGACAACAACTACCTTCACAATTCCTGTTCCATTTTTCCTCCAACCGAACCGACCACGAGGGCTTGCCAATATCTCCACAGCACAACCACCAACCACCGCCACAAGCATCCAGTTCGCCGCCGTTGGAAGGAGGGGATGAGGTGGCGGCTGTGGCTCCGGTGAGAGCCGCGGGGGGGTCTGGGTGGAGATTGAGGTCGCATTTGGGGCTATTAAGCTCCGGGATTGTTCGTGTTGCTTTTGCGGTTCGTGATTATGCAGTGTGTAGAAGGGGTTTTTGGTCATTTCTGTGCGTGGCCGGAGTTTTGGGGGTGTCGTTTTTGTACGGGAAGGTGTGGCGGTGGCGGCGGAGATTCCGGCGAGAGAATGAGGAGCGTTTGATGCTACTAGTCAGAGAGAAAGATGAGGTTCGTTTGGTTATATTCAAAGTTCATTGTTGTATATATATGTTTATGTGTTTGTTAAAATGCCTGTTCTATATGAATAATACGATGCAGAGAAAATAGAAGTTATGATTTATGACAGCATCTCCAATATTTCATATTTTTTTTATTAAATTTAAATTTGATAAAAAATTATTCAAAAATCATCTTTTTTTTTATTAAATATTCATCAAGTCATGGAAATTTTTTATTTTATTTTAATAATCAAATTGAGAATTTGTTAAATTGGAATATGTTGAAAATATGGAGAGATGAAGCATGGCCTATGATTTTTTTAATCAAATTTAATGAAAAATGAAATTTGAGATAAGAGGGGGGATATTTAAAATGATTTTTATGAAAATTTGATAAAAAGATTAGAGTTCTTCATATTAAATCAAGTTTTTTACTCAAATTTAAAATTAATTAAATGAAAAAATTGATAAAGAATTGGAGATGCTCTAAAGTATGCATGAATAACCTTATCTGGACTAGATGTCAAATTATTGATATACTTCTAATACTTGTATATCCGTATCAAAATCAAAATATATCATAAATGTATCAACAATATGAAATTATTATTGTTATTTTAATTTGGAATAAATAGTGTTTGGGGACTCAATCCTTCCTAATCATAGAAATACTTTAAAATTATTTCTTTTAATAATTTCTTATTCTTCTATATAACTTATAATAAATAGGAAAAATTACATCAATAGTCTTTATATTTTACCTTTTGTGTCATTATGATCCTTACCAATTATAATCATAAATTCAAGGTTAAAATTGAACCAATTTAAATTACAGGGATCAAAATGATACAAGAGTTAAAGTATAAGGACTACCAATGTAATTTACCCTAATAAATATATAAGATTATATTTTTTTTCATGCATTTCTCGTGCATCATGCCTACACTTTTTGAAAATTTATGTATCAACATCTCCGTATCCATATCCGTGCTTCATAGATCTTAGTACTTTGGATTGTAGAAAGTTTCTACAAAACTAGGGGTGTTTTATATTGTTTTGATTATGTTTTCTTTTGAGAGCAGGAGTCTTACAAATATGAGACATTTGCTGGTTCTTCTTTCTCTTTCATTAGCAGAGAAAAGCTTGTTAGCATAGGGAGACATGCTTTTAGTTTTAATGGAAATTACTCAATGTAACTTTCTTATGTGTGTATTTAGTTAGACAAACATGGGTAAGTATTCTCCAATTATATTAAACATGTCTAGATGTCAAAGATTATGAGCATATGGAAACATATTTCAATATTTCTTCCATATTTATTTTTGTATTCAAAGTATGTATTCAAAGTATTCTGGTGAAAGTGCATATCCTCCATTTGTTTTTTGTCACATACATTTTTTATTCCATCCCTAAATGAGTATTTGCACATGTGAACATCTGCAGAAAATCAGCCAACTCTGGCTACAAATTGCCCAAATGAATGAGGTTCTCTCGGCCCGGCGCAGGGTTCTAGTGGTCAGAGTTGCTTGACTGACTAATCACATCATTCCCAGCTCAAAATTGATCGATCACACATTGTGACCATACTTATTAATTCACCCCTCTCTCTCTCTCTCTCTCTCTCTCTCTCTGTAATGTGATATCAGCTTATGAAGACTGAGCAAGAAGAGGTACATACATATGCAGTATTTGCATTTGCTAGATATTGATACAAATTGGTGACTGCCTCTGTACCAAGCTTATTTTCTTCCTTGTTCTTGTGATGTGTACAAAATAAGACATCGAGCAATATGATTTGCGAATTCATTCAGTGATTTCCTTTTAGTTGTTCACTAGATTAGTCTGACTACATGATCAATTATGCTTTGCTCGTTAGTGTCTGTTGATTAACATCATCATCGAATTCAACTTGATATGAAATGTTTACATGCAATGTTTTCATCGCATCTTTTTCCAGACTTACATTAGCAACTCTTTTTATTGTTCATTATAGATTTCAAGTTTCATTTCATTATCAGTCAATTCGAGGATAAATGTGTCTTGGATCAAACAAAGATCTCAAAATAGCTTCTCTGTTGATCATTGTCCCTTCTAAACCATCCAATGGTGATTAGAATTCATATGTAAATGTCACATTCAATGATGATATGGAGAGATTTAGTTGGGAACGAGATTATCACAATGATGGAGCTCTTGGATTGCTCGGTGGTTAGTTGAGGTTGAGATTGAGGTTGAAGTAGAGGTGACTTTCATATTCTAACATCAGATCTGATCTCAACATCTAATGAAAGCAGAATAGCGGTGAAGGGAGATTATGAGAGGACGGCAGAGCAGAAAAATTTCCTAATAATGCTTTTATTTATAGGAGAAATTACCGGTAAATCCCAAATTAGGGAATGATGATCCATTTAGTCCTGTGTTTCTTCTTATGAACTATTTGGTCCTATTTAATTGGTAAGGAATATTTTCCTTTGATTTGGCATGGGCAAAGTTTACACATTTGCCCTTGTTATAATTTTGGTGGATTTTTTTTGGTCATTTGTGTGTAATGATTGAGATGGTAACGTTTTACATTTATATTTTATGTGTTTGATTTTTGTAAAAATTATACGGTGGATGAGTTTCAATTGCTGATATTGTTTTCTTCATTAACATTGATACAGTTAACATTATATTTTTACTACCACAAATGTTAATAACATTTCATATCACCACCAACATTTATACACTAACACGACGACAATGTTTGTGTTTATAATGTTTTGTGTGGCGATGTTTGTCCTTTTATAATGATTTGTCGATGTGTTTATTACGTTTATTGTGATTCGTCACACTGGGTTGGATTGGACTAACGTTGCGTTGTTTTTTTTGGTGTGGTTTGTTTTTATGTTGTTTTTCTCGCAGGAACATTTGGGTCACCAGTGAAATATCACATGATGTTGATACATCGATCATGTACATTTTTTAAACGTATCATACGTGGTGTTGTGGGTTCAGTTTTTGTTTATTTTGCGATGGTGTTATGAGTTGTGATGGCTATAGGTAGTCGTAACATCAATTTGTCCTAAATGCAAATGTTAGGTCTGATGTTACGTTACAAACGGACAAAATTTTAGGATGCATAGTCAAAACACTTGATGTTAAACAAACACACATCAATGAACATAGGTTATTATATTAACCAATTACACAATGGTGAATCTCATAACTACACGCAACAACAATTACATCATGTACACATTGTATCAATGTTAATGTAACATGAATAACTATGTGCATCGTTGAGCGCTTAAACACAATAAAAACATGATGTCACCATACCTTCATCATAAACCAATGAGAAGCTCACAATTAAATTAAATTAAAATCCAACAAACCAAACTTCCAATCAACATCATCGTAACACCCATATTTCGAGAAAACCAATCGCCGAATGACACATTCAACGACAAGGGCCGCTAATTCTACGTCAATCTATTTTATTCAAAAGTATGACATCAATTCCACACAGAACAATATGTTTCTAGTTCAAAACGGGGTCAGTATTGAAAATAGGGTAATGAACTATCAAAAATGCTTTAGACCACTAATTAGTGGTGGCTCTAATGATGTGGCAGTGGGTCCCATCCACTGCCACATGTATTTTGTGCCTTGTTTTTTTTCTTTTTCTTTTTTTTTTCAATTGCCATCTCACTAGTGGTGATATTAGTGATGGTAAATTAGTGGTCTATAGCATTGCTCAATGAACTATTGTAATGTATACACTAATGAAATGAGCTAAACTGTGTAATGTAAACTAAACGCATATCAATAAACACAAGTTATTACATTTAATCAGAATGCAACAGTGTGACATAATTGTGACTGTAACATTAGAACCAAATGCATCATTGCACACACACTTACGTTAGAAATATGATGTCACAATACCCTCATTGCCAATTATAGTGATGTACACAACCGAATTAACATCCAACCAACATCATACAGAATGAATAGGATCCGAATAAACATTGTGCTGAATATCACACCAAATTACAATGTTTCCTAAATGCACGCCGATTCATTTGTTCAAAATATGCAATAAATTCCAGTAAGACCACACATTTTAAGCGGAACACCACCTCCCCATAACAACCAACTCATGATTGTAAATTCCATGTTAACAAACCATCTCATGAGTCGACAAATCCAAGCTAAAACTTGTAAATTCCATGTTAACAAACCATCTCATGAGTCGACAAATCCAAGCTAAAACAGGGTAATGTAATACCACGGTCGACGTGTCTAAACGGGACTTTTTTTTTTCATTGTTGATGCTGGCTTGTTACATCGAAACTGTAACTTTGCTTGTTTCTTCACTACTAAACAGGTAGATATACATTCTTTCACACCAGAATGTCGATTTTGTTGAATCGACACTTTTTCCGAAGTTTGATGCCGAGCATTACTTGCCATGATAAAATTTAATTTGTCAATGTCAATCCACGATCAAACAATCGTTAATGATACAAGTACAATATATGTTGCAAGCACTTACAAACAATGCAATGCATGCTGCATTATCAACGAGTTGTATACTAATGCAAGCGAATACAACGTCACAAACATCATAACAATCGGCATACGACACCATCAAAAACAAAAATTAGAGGCTATGTTTTTGTTATGCCGTTTATTTACTTGAGAACCAAGGGTGGGAACTACGTGCTAACTACATTGTGTCACGTTTGGTTCCGTCAAACATACAAGCCAAGCGTTCCCCTGTAAACTACGTTCTAACTACATTGCGTAGATATCTTTCAAGCCAACGTACTAACAACCCCAGGACATTAGTAATGCAAACACATTAACACACTGTCAAAACAACAACATGAGGTAATATTCTAGTCACAATAACAATGCTTCAATAGCAATCATTGTTAAGACACACATACGGGCAGGTGACGTGGCTATTACGCTGTTATGTTAAACAATTACAAAGGGTCTAAATGAGACACATTCAATGCAACAGACACATTGGGACATTTCATAGCCACAAAATGCCCTTAGAAATCGATGACGTTACATTCGTTGATGGCATCGATACCCTGCCGATCAAAAAAAAATAAATCCATACCCATTACACCCAATCACATTATCAATTTGATTACACACTACTCTGATAACTACCAATCAACACCATAACTCCAACGTTAATGCACATCAACATTCACTAACATCACAATACCTACGAAAATTTCAAAATACACTACATTACGGCCACACCATATTAGACCTACAGCCATTTCTCCAAAATACATTTGGGGGAAATGTATATAACACCAACAACTAACAACCCCAACTACAAAACCAGCAATACCACATACAACATCTACAAAATAAGTCAACAATTCCACGCGAAAAGTTACGAACCTGTTATTTTCATTGTCATCAATTGTAACTCTGGGGGATGACTGAAGCATCAGCGTAATCTGCAGTGCTTGTATATGACGGCGATGTTAATGGTGTTAACGGAGCAGCCGAAGCAACGTTTTGTCCGTCACAGTCAACGATGGCAGTAGTTGGCCTATGCAGTGTTGATTTCCTTCCAATTTAGGGTTCCTCCTGAAACACCAATGTGGATTTCGTGCTGTTTATAATTGTAGATTCAGAACCCACATTTAGGGTTTCAACAATAACGCATCGCGATGTTCAAATGTGGAAATTGTCTTCCTAATATTTCCTTATACAGCTTAAAAGATTCAATCAAATACGAGGGAAAAATAAAATAAAAAAAACCCTATAGTGTGCTCGATATCCACAACAGTAATTTCAACATTACAAAAAACCATAATTGCCCTCCAATTAAAACATAAACACACGGCAGATGAAGGCCAAATGTGACATTTCAATCATCTCAAGACTTTTTGGTTAAAAGAAAAGATGCAGGACTAAATAGTCCGTAAGTCATTAATTTGAGATTTATTGGTGCTTCACCCTTATTTATATAGTATAGATGTAGATAGATGTAAATTAGATTGTTGATTGTTTATCCATTAGTTAGGAGTATTTTGCATAATTTTCGTTTTTGGATAATGTATTTCAATTAAATTTTTGGAAAGTTTTTCTCATAAAATATCAATTTCAGCAAGGGAGTAATTTAATTATGTTCATGCACAATAATTTTTTTTTTCTTTTTGGTGCAATAAAATTGCTTCCTCATGTTTTTAGTTAAAAAAATAAAGGAAAAAATTATTATTTTTGTTTTGTTTTATAAAAAGTGTGTAAATAATAATAATAATAACTACTATACAGATGCTAAATAAATAAATAAAAATAAAAATAAAGAAATACATTTAATGAATTATTGGAAGTGATTGTTAATAGGAATGGCAACGGGACGGGGCGGGGCCGGGGATCACACTCCCCGTCCCCGATCCCCGAAGGTACGAATTTCCCCGTCCCCGGCCCCAATCCCCGACGGGGAGTCTCTCATCGCCCCCACCCGCCGTCCCCTAACGGCGATTGGGTTTCCCCGACTCCGACACAAAAAAAAAAAAAAAAAAAAAAAAAAAAAAACACATTCAATAACAGATTCTTCATCATATATCAACATATATATCAACAACAACAAGAATTAGAGAGAGATCTGACCTATATTCAACATATATATCAACATATATATCGCTATATTCTACAGATCTAAGCCCAAATACATATTCAACACTAGATTTAACATATATACAACAGATCGAAACAAATCTGAGCTAAAAAAATAAAATAAAAATTAACACATTCAGAGAGAGAGACGACTGTAATCGGCGACTATAGAGAGATGGCGGTGATGGAGAGGAGGGACAACGGCTATGGGGGAAGGACAGCGACGATCGGCGGTGATGAGAGGAGCTTGCTCGTCGCCGATGCCGTGAGACCACCTGCGTAGAGAGAGGGAGAGAGGCTGAGGTTGAGTCTCGTGAGACCACCTGTGTAGAAAGAGAGAAAGCGGCTGAGGTTGAGAGTCAGAGATGAAATGAAATGAATTGAGTGAGTGAGAGAGGCATCAAATTATAATATAATATAACATATATCTCATATTATAAATATAATATAATATCATTGTTTAGCCACCCAAACAGACATAAAATAATATTATATAGATAGATATATTATAATATAGACATATGCACATACAGGGAAGTTTCGGGGAAGTTGCGGGGCGGGGCCGGGGCCGGGGAAGAGAAATTTATCACCGTCCCCGGCCCGAAATTGATCGGGGATTTAATTTTGAATACCATTCCCGTCTCCACGGGGGTATTTTTCAGGAAAAAACCATTTTAATCGGGGTCGGGGGGTCGGGTCCTCGTCGGGCCGGGTTTAAATTGCCATCCCTAATTGTTAATGATGGAAAATAGATGGATGTGGTGGTTGGGCGAAGAAGTTGGCTAGAGGTAATTGTTGGAGAGAGTAGGGGTTGCTGCTGCGCAGCCCGCGTAACAGCAATTGTTGTGGGCTTATTTTGGAGTCTATTTTGATAATTTGAACCGTTCACATTTTAGAATACATCAAGTACAACATACCTGTAAAAAATCAAGTTGATCGGATATCATTTACCCATTCATCCACTCATATTTGTATCTACAAAAATAAATAATAATTGTGATTTAAAGTATTAAAATGAATATAAATGTGAGTGGATGAATAGGTAAACGATATCTGATTAACTTAATTTTTTGCAGGCATGTTCTACTTGATGTATTCTAAAATGTGAACAGTTCGAATTATCAAAATAGGTTCCAAAATGAGCCCATTTCAACGCACAACAGTTACTGCTGCGCAGACCAATTCTTTTTTGGAGTTAGTACCTCGAGAATGTTGGTGGAGATCACAAGGTAGTTCAGAAGATTGTTAGATAATGAACATCTAATTGCTTGAGTTTGTTGAAAGGTGGCAATGAGTGAATGGTGATTGCAGATGTTGAGGATATGAGGAGAAATTGAAAATTTGTGTTGGTGATAATTAAAAATAAAATACTAGAAAATACAAATAATAAAAATTACAATAATGATTGTAAGGGCTGAGGCGCGGAAAATTCGCTTTCTTTAAGGAGATTCAAGCCCTCTGCGGTTAGGCAAAACCTCACACTGGTGCAACAAAAAAATCTTGACTTGTCTCCCCCAGGATACAATAGCCCGACTAAGTTGTATTGTTAACCAATATTGCACAATTGGTTGAATCCAAAGTTTTATCACATACACCATTTTTTATTTGCCTGATAGTCTTACACAAAACATAATAAAGCAACAAAAACTTCTTCTCCTATCCAAGATAAGAAGTTAGATCAATTTATAGGAGATGAAAGCTTGGTGGACAAGTTTCTTGAAGGAAGATTCTTGGAAATTGCTTGGAGGCTCCTTGGAAGTAGCTTAGAGGATAAGATTGAATGGATAAGAATAAGAAAGGAAATTGGTGGGCAATTTCCTTTGAAGACTTGGAGACTTGACTTGACTTGGAGACTTGAAGGATCCTTGGACACCAAGAAAGAATTAACTTGGAGGAAAAGAAAACAAATCAAACCAATAACACATTATAATATTGAAATATCTGCTAACAATTTGTTTTAAAAATAAGTTGAAACACATTTTTTCGTCTTTAAAAACTTAAACTATTTTTGAGCCAATTTTATATTATGGAAAACAAAATAATATACTAAATAAATTTTTATTTTTAATTATAAAAAGAAAGTTAGCAAACCCGGTTTGGATTTTTGGTGAACAAAATGGGCCCGTGATTCTAGCCTATTTTGGTAAGTGGGTTAAAAGCCATTTCTCAACTTTTAATCCACTTCCATTTTTTACAAAAAAAAGTCAAAAAAAATTAAAAAATTAATTTTTAACCATCTTCTCAAAACACCTATCTATCGTTGTGCAACTCCATTATTTTAGAGTCTCAAGACACGTAACGTTTGGCATTATTTTAGTTAAAAAATTTAAAATTATTAAAAAAATGGAGTTTTTTTGATAAATCTTTTTTTCTAGAAGTTTTATTCTATCTAATTTATATTCTTTTTGACTATTCCATTAGGTCTTATTTGAGGTAAGAGGACCAAAACACCCTTAATCTCTCATGCCCCCTATTGATGTTGATATTTAATGTTGATTATCATTATGTTTTGGTAGTTCTCATGTATCAGGATGTTGACTATCATTATATTCATATTAATTTGAAATAAATTTTTGTCATTGTGTTGTCAATTACATGATGTGAATATTCACATCATTATATTCACATTAATTTGACATGAATTTTTGTTATTATGTTGTCAATTACATGATGTAAATATTCATACTAAAATATAAGAATATGCACATTCACATCACTACATTAGATGAAAGAGGATGTTCACATGTTGTGAACATTTACATCACTACATGTTGTGAATAAGAATGTGTTGTTAATTAAAAATATAATTAACATTATTTTTAATGTGTTGTCAATTAAAAATAAGAAGGTTCGCATCACTACATTAGATGAGAGAGAATTTTTCAGAAAGGTGTTGTGAACGTTCACATCAGATTAGAGAGAATGTTTACATTGTCTTTAATGTGTTGTCAATTAAAATTATATTCACATTATATAATAATATAAAATAATAACATCAATATTATTTAATTTGTGAATGAAATATGTCTTAGTCCTTTCCCTGCTCTTTCCTTTCCCAAACATTAAACATTAATATTAAATATAAGGGCAGAAGAGTTTAAAAAAAAGTATAAATTAAGAAAAATGACTTTATGGAATAAAAATATAATAATAATGCTTGAGACCACTAATTAGTGGTGTCACTAATGATGTGGCAGTGGGCCCCACCCACTACCACAGTGTTTGCTGTGTCTTTTTTTTTTTTGGGGGGATTTTCCATCTCATTAGTGGTGGTTTAGTGGTATCAAATCAGTGATAGCAATCACTACTAAAAATATAAATATATGGACTAAGTGGGTTAAAAAAAATATTCATGGACTTATTAAATTAGAACACTTCTAAATGAAATTTATCAATAAAAATCTCTTAAAAGAAATTTGAGTTATACAAAAAATAAAAAATAAAAAAATTCCATTCACATTATAAAGTCAACTCTTTTTTCATTTACTTTAATTTTTGAACTATTTCTGCAAAAAAACTTTAAAAACTTTTCTAAGCATTCGTCCGTGTGGTTTTGAATTTTTAAAAATAACTTTTGTGTTTTATTATATATAGTGAATTTTTTTCATATTTTGATCATTCTTCGTTTTATTTTTTAGATACACTTAATTTGAATGTATTTTAAAAATAAATATTTGTGAAAAAATCTAAAATAATTTGATAAATACAAAATAAAATTTTTATATTTGATGAAAATTTTAAATTTTTTTACAAATTTAAAAATTTTGAGTGCATCTAAATTAATTAGATCTATAATTTAAAAATTGTCTACAAAGAGATTAAAACTTTTTATTAAAAATTTAAAAATAGAAATTAAGAACTCAAAAATTATTTTTAAAAATTAGAAATTCAAACAGAATGATTTTTTAACTTTATATTTTAATTAAAACAAGTCAAAAATCCCTAAATTAGTTTAAAAAAATAAAATAATTATTACAAAAATCAATTCATTCACTTTACTCTTTTAACTTTTTATAAAAAAATAAAAAAAAACTATTAAAAAAAAAATCAATTGGCAAGTCTAAATAGTAGAGGAGATCGAAGACGTCCATCTGCGAATCATCTTTATCAAAAGCCACAATTCCAAACAAAGCAAAAACGCTTGCTTGAGAGTTGAGCCATCTCTCTGTCTCTCTTCTCTAGGGCTGTGCACCGGATCCACTGGCCCGACCCGACCCGACCCGAAAACCAATGGTTGGATGCATGGTATGCAGCGGACGAGTGCGGGTTCCGGATTCTTATTTTTCGGGTTCAGGTGATCCGCATTATACCACAAACCCGACCCGACCATGACCCCCCTTTTTGTGCGTGTGTTTTTTACGCCTCAGCCAGCCCTTTTCTGTAGTTTACCCTAAACCTAGTTCCTCCTTTCAGACACAGAGACACACACACCCTTTCTCTCGTCTCTCTCTTCGCTCTCTCTCTCTCTCTCTCTCTCTACCCTCAAAACCCTACCCATCGTCGTCCTTGTCCAGCGGTCTACACTAAACAGTCGACCGACGATCTACTACACTGAACGGCGATTGGCTATCGATCTACACCGAACAATATTCTCCTACGATCTGCTCATCTCTGCTCCTGTTCTACACTGACGGTATGCTCTGCTTTTCGTCTTTCCTCTTCTTCTCTTTTCTTCTTCTGTTTTTCTCTTCTTCTTTCCTCTTAACACACACACCCTTTCTCTCGTCTCTCTCTTCGCTCTCTCTCTCTCTCTATCTCTACCCTCAAAACCCTACCCATCGTCGTCCTCGTCCAGCGGTCTACACTAAACAGTCGACCGACGATCTACTACACTGAACGGCGATTGGCTATCGATCTACACCGAACAATATTCTCCTACGATCTGCTCATCTCTGCTCCTGTTCTACACTGACGGTATGCTCTGCTTTTCGTCTTTCCTCTTCTTCTCTTTTCTTCTTCTGTTTTTCTCTTCTTCTTTCCTCTTATTGTCTTCTCCTGTTCTCTGTAATGTCACACTCTCTGTATGTGTTGTTTTCTACCTCTTATTCAACATTTCCCCCTCTTGAATTTTGGGTTCAATTTCGTTTGTTGTATGTGTTGTGTTCAATTTTAGTTTTATTTAGAAACTACTTCGGAACTGATTAGGAAGTTGTGTTTATAAATTGATTGATTTAGGAACTGATTTAGTTTTATAAATTGATTGATTTCGGAACTGTTTCAGAACTGCTTCGGAACTGATTTAGTTTTAAAATGGATTGATTTTGTTTTACAGTGCTTCCATACAAAATTTGTGTATATAAATTGATTTTGGAACTGAAAATAAATTGATTGATTTAGGAACTGATTTAGTTTTATAAATTGATTGATTTAGTTTTACGGTGCTTCCATAAAAAATTTGTGTTTATAAATTGATTTAGGAACTAAAAATAAATTGATTGATTTAGGAACTGATTTAGTTTTATAAATTGATTGATTTCGGAACTGATTTAGTTTTATAAACTGATTGGTTTAGTTTTACAGTGCTTCCATAAAAAAATTGTGTTTATAAATTGATTTAGTAAGTGATTTAGGAACTGAAAATAAATTGATTGATTTAGGAACTGATTTAATTTTATAAATTGATTGATTTCGGGACTGCTTCGGAACTGATTTAGTTTTATAAATTGAATTATTTGTTTTTGAATTGAATGTGAATTAAAAATATATGAATTAAAAACCAATGTGAATTGAATTATTTGTTTTTGGTCTGGCAGATTGGCAGTATATCAAATATATGAATTGTGCACTTGCACTATCTTTTGCTTACCTATGTTTTGGCAGTATTTTAGGAAGTGCAATGCACAATTGAATTATGTTCAGGTTCTGTTTTTGAGAAAATGCACAATTTTATGTTGAAAATTTGTAAATTTTTAAACCGCCAAACCGATTTGTATCCATCCGCCAATCCACTCAATCCGCATCTGCCGGATTGGCGGACGGATGCAAATTGATTTTCTCCAATCCGCCAATCTGGCAGGCAGATGGCGGATTGGAGGTTTCGTGGCCGCAACCGATCCGCGCCCATCCCTTCCTTCGTAGTTTTTGGGTTTATCTTTTCTATCGATTGTGACCTCTCTTATTGTGTTGTTGATTATATTGTTCGAAGTTTGAATCAGCTACTACACTCGTTATTATGTAATAAATTCATGAAATTAGGGCTTGATTCAACTGAATCCTAATGAGCATGGTTTACCAGTATTCAGCCAATCTGCGAAACCCTAGACCAAAACCCCCTTCTTTTAACTAAAGTGGGTTTTGGAATTTTTGCAACTTGTTTATTTTGGGGCATTAATTGACTAGATTTCATTTTGATACTCTTGTTTGGTTTAGTGATCTACTTAGCTTCCATTTGGTTTGACGAATCATTATTTTTTCAACAGTTCATTATTGAAAAAATTTAACAGGTAAAATAAATTATCCTTTTAATTTTTTGCTTGCTTGGCAGACACATTTTTAAAGAGGATATTTAGTTGCATCAAACAGTTGATGAGTATATAAAACACGAACTGAACATTTGAACAAAAACTGAACTTGTAAGTGGTACGAGGAGGTTGTAAATCTTATTTTACAATGTTAGAATTCAATTTGAAGGGTTGAAACCATCTAACTCTGAAGTGTATTATATATATATATATATATATATAGAGAGAGAGAGAGAGAGAGAGAGAGCACTCGTTAGAAGGGTCACTTCCCTGGTGTCTGAGAAGATGGTAGGAGTCTTCCCATGTCTTGTTCTATTAGTCACTAAGTTCTAAATGAGTTTGAATGGTGTAAAATAAGTTATGGAATTTAAATTTGGCAAGTTGTTTTCCTGCCCTTATTGAAAAAAGATTTACAAGAAAATGTTCTCTTCAATTTATAGTTGGATCAAACATGAGAAAAGTGGAAAGCCTTTACTGATATTTTAGGTCCAAACAAATGCTGTGTTAATGACATGTGATCTAGTAGTAATATTTGGGCCTCTCAATTGTATAATCCATCATTTCTTATCTTAATAGTTTTTCTTTTGAGATATTTGGTCTATTTATTTATGGAATGTTGTGTTTTGTTGCTGTGAAATTAAAGGAAAAAAATAGAAGAAATTGGGAGGTCAATTTTTTGTTGCATCTGCATTCTGTTCTATGTTCTATTGCTGTCCTTCGTTGTATTTGTTATGATGGATGGATAAATTATGGAGAATGAATTCTAATATGATATATTTTGTTGGTATGGCTGTTGGTTCAACTTGTAATTTTTTTCCCTATGATTTTGTTGTTTGACTATGTGAGAAGTTCAATCATTTGGGTTGCTTTTAAGTGCTGCATGAATGCATTGAGGTGCAGTTTTATGCAGTGCTTTTCTGAAGCGCCTCAAAATTGGAAGTACCACAAATGGTTTTCCACCAGGGGTCCTCTTCCCTGCTGTGAAAGAATAATTTTGTTATACTATGTATGTGTTTCGGATCATCTGCAGATAATGATTTGGTTAGGTTTACTGATGTGGCCTTTTGCAGAGAAGAGTTGGTTACTTCATGAATGGGATTACTTAAGTTGTTTTAGTTGAACCACTTTCGAGATTCCTTATTGTGGGGAAGTGGTTTTAGGAAATACTCTTCTGATCCTGGGAGACGCTTGTGATCCACCGATAGGCACCTGAAAAGAAATAAACACTTCGGTCGGGGGTGCCGGAATTAGCACTCCGACGGACAAGTCAATCTCTCGTTCTAAATTACTTGTATTCTAAGTTAAACACTACAATTATCACATACCTTTCTCAGTCTGCTATTCCTTTATTTATACTCGTTCCCTGGGCCTCGGCTCCAGGTCCACTTTTCGCTCATTATGTTTATATTTACTTGGCTCCGTAGCTCAGTACCTATTCGGCCCATCTACCCTTTATATTCGGCATCCTGATGGTTTTGGATAGAGCCGGGCAATACCTGTCTGTTAAAGTATGCCTCTTTTAAAATTCGGCTCCCACACTTATAAAACATTTACAAGTCACGGCAACATAGGCTTCTTTTCTTGGTGATGAGTACATAGGACTTAAAACACTATTTGTTTTAGCAATCAATAAGGTTTGGGAAGCATGAAATTGATTTTTCTTAGAAGAAAGGCATCTCTAGGCACTTCTCTGGCTTTTTGTGATTAGACATAAAATGCTTAGATTTTGGAATGTTTGAAAAAAAAATGACAAGAAGTTTGGTGTTGAAAGCTGGAGTGACTGGTGTGTTTGGTTTGGTCAGTCCCCCAAGAAGATTGTCTCGACAGAGACATATCAAAGTGTAGTATCATTCCCATGTTGGAAAACTAAATAATGGGAAATTAGTATGAGTTCTTTGATTTGCTCACCATTCTTTTGTATTATTGATGTTCCTCAATTTGCTCACCTTTCAATGGGAAATTAGGATTGCCCCTTGGGATATAGTAAGAGTTGCTCCATACTAATAAGAGTTGCTCCATGCTTTTGTATGATCAAAAACAGTAAGAGCAGGTAATCCATCAGTTTAATTATGATTAAAAATAAAATAAAATCTGTTACTCACATTGAATTTATCTTTTTAATTTGGGAACTTGTTTCTGAAGGTTTAATGAAGCTGCATTTCATGTTGTCTAACCTGGGAGCTGTGTCTATCATTTAAGTTTTGCATCATTTGTGGGATAACGTGTTAGTTCAGTTTGTTTGTTACCTAATTGTTCAATTATTTCAAATTTGCAGGAATATAAGGAGGTGATCATGTCTTCGTCATATGTCCCAGCAACCACTGAATCACTCGATCAGGCTCAAGAAGCCAAAAATCCAACAGAGGCAATCTCAATCCTTTACCGCATACTTGAGAACCCTTCATCTTCTTCTGAAGCACTCCGGATAAAAGAAAAGGCCATCTCGAATCTCTCAGATCTTCTTAGAGAACAAAACAGGGCAGAGGAACTCAGAAGCCTTCTGACCCAACTAAGACCTTTCTTTTCCTTGATCCCCAAGGCGAAAACTGCAAAAATTGTTCGCGGGATAATCGATGCAGTAGCTAAAATACCAGGCACGTCAGATCTCCAGATCTCTCTTTGCAAAGAAATGGTTCAATGGACCCGAGCCGAGAAGCGAACATTCCTTCGTCAAAGAGTTGAGGCGAGGCTTGCAGCTCTTTTGATGGAAAGCAAGGAATATTCGGAGGCATTAGCCCTTCTTTCTGTGCTAATCAAGGAAGTCAGAAGATTGGATGACAAATTACTCCTTGTGGACATAGAATTATTGGAGAGTAAGCTCCACTTCTCTCTGAGAAACCTTCCTAAAGCTAAGGCTGCACTCACTGCAGCGAGAACAGCAGCGAATGCTATTTACGTGCCTCCAGATCAGCAGGGTACAATAGATTTGCAGAGCGGGATTCTTCACGCAGAAGAGAAGGATTATAAAACCGCTTACAGCTATTTCTATGAGGCATTCGAAGCTTTCAATGCTCTTGAAGATCCTCGAGCAATATATAGTCTCAAGTACATGCTGCTGTGCAAAATCATGGTGAACCAGGCCGATGACGTGGCAGGAATATTATCGTCTGCCAAGGTGGGATTGCAATATCAGGGTCCGGAAGTCGATGCGATGAAAGCTGTTGCACACGCTCATGCGCAACGCTCTCTGAAGCTCTTTGAGACTGCACTTCGGGATTTCAAGGCACAACTGGAGGAGGACCCAATTGTTCACCGCCACTTGTCTTCGTTGTATGATACTTTGCTGGAGCAGAACCTTTGTAGGTTGATCGAGCCATTCTCGAGGGTTGAGATTGCTCATATTGCTGAACTGATTGAACTCCCTGTAGAACACGTGGAGAAAAAATTGTCTCAGATGATCCTTGATAAGAAGTTTGCGGGGACGTTGGATCAAGGTGCCGGATGTCTCATAATCTTTGAAGATCCAAAGCCAGATGCGATCTATCCGGCGACACTGGAGACCATCTCGAATATTGGGAAGGTTGTGGATAGCCTCTATGTGCGATCTGCCAAAATTATGGCATAAGGTTCAAGCTGTTTGGCTGAGTAACATTTTCTGGTTGCCATTTCTGGTTTATGACTTAAAAAACCTAAAGACTTGCTTTTGCTTTTTCCATTATTTCTTTGAAACTGGGTTCGATTTACTTTGCTTTAAGAGATTATAGCTTATTTGTGTGATTTTGCTTTGATGGTCTTCTTTGAATTACTGGGATCATTTTGTTGGGAATTCTGATTCTTGTTACTCAATTGCTGCTTTATCAGGCGGAATATCATTGTTGCCAACCATTGTCACAATACTTGTATTAACTCTGTTTTGCAGGGTTGCAGTGCTTTAAGTTTAGAATGGTAGTAGCATAGTAGTACCATCCCAGCTTGGTTCGGTTTATAGTTCCATTTGGAGCTTTAAGGTGGTCTTTGTTGAGATGTATATTGTTTTGGTGGTGCTCTTTCCCGTTATGTTCATTGGTATAAAGATGAACTAAAGATAAATTTTCATCGTTTATGGATCACGATCACTCATATAAATGCAGTAAAGATTTTGTTGGAATTTTTTTGAAAATTTTCAGGAAAGTTAATCATAGGTTCTTCTCTCCAACAAGGCAAAGTAAAGATTTTGTTGGAATTTGTTGGAGTGAATTTTCAAAAAGGTTAATAGTAGGTTCTCTACAAGAAGGCAATATGGCCATTATATGTCTCTTCTGCTGGATAAATTGAAATGTTACATTGTTGACTTCAAAAAATTTCACATGTGGTATCAACCAGGAAGGGTCCATATAAATCAATTACCTAAGCATTCTCTCAATTTTCTGAGCCTTTCTCTTTTTATTTTTGGAGAACATTCTGAGCTATCTTTGAAGTTTTCAACTGAACTGTTCAATGGTGCGGAGTCAAATCGTGTGAAAATAGTTCTCTTGCATAACCATTATTCTACATATTTTGTTTTGTAGGTTCTGCACTCTGCTCATGACGAGGAGTTTAATCTTTTATCTCATAAGCTTAGCGGTAAAATTATATAAATATTAGAATTTGTTCGAGAATTGTATTTTTTTTATGGCTTTTTAGTTTTTATAGAAAGGCATTCAAAAAAATAGGTAGATGGAGTCAAATTTTGTATTGACTTTTTGGTTACAATGTTTACTTTCTAAACATTCTGTTTCATTGGATATTAGTAGATGCATAAATAAATTATATTTTGTTCTTTTAAATTAGACAAAAATTGTGTTTAAATTTAAATCATTCATTTTATTTTATAAAATATATGATTTGTTCATCTATTTATATATAATTTATTTTTTGCATAGATATTTTTACTGTAAAATTTATGAGAAATAATGTAGATTATTGTTATGAGCTATGGGACTCACGAAATAAAACATGAAATACTACGAAGGGTTGTGACATGAGTCATTCTCAAATGATGGAGAAGCAAATGTTAGGAAATTAATTTCTAATACATACATAATTAAGAAGTTGACTTATTCGAATGAATAGACTAAAAATATTAGAAAATTCATTATTAATTAATATTAGGGCTGCAAATGAACAGAGCCGTTCGTGAATAAGTTCGAGCTCGGCTCGGTAAAAGCTCGTTCGAACTCGGTTCGTTAATTTTTTTTGCCGTTCCAGCTCGAGCTCGAGCTTGTTAAATTTTTAATAAACAATCATAAAAAAAATATTAGAAAATTCATTACTAACTAATATTAGGGCTGCAAATGAACAGAGCCGTTCGTAAATAAGTTCGAGCTCGGCTCGGTAAAAGCTCGTTCGAACTCGGTTCGTTAATTTTTTTTGCCGTTCCAGCTCGAGCTCGAGCTTGTTAAATTTTTAATAAACAATCATAAACATTTTAAAACTCGGCTCGTTAGCTGGCTCGTTTAATATTTTTATTTATATATTAAATAATATAAAATTATGTATAAAAAATAAGAGAAATATGCTATTTATATATTTAAAAGATATAAATGTAAATAATACTTAACTATAGATAGTACATTTATATGATAGTGGTAGTAGATATTATTATTTTAGTAAAATATGGATTTTTTTTAGTATGTTTATATATTTTGTATATATAATTGTATAATCAAAGTTTTAATTGTAACTTTAGTATCACATGCAAGTATGAATTTATAAATTTTTTGGCTCGTTAAGGTTCCTGAACAGGCTCGAGCTCGAGTCGAGCCTAAGCCAACTCGGCTCGAGCTCGGTTCGTTAAATTTTTATTCAGCTCGAGCTCGAGCTCGTTAAAATTTTAATAAATAAGCCCAAACACATTAAAGTTCAGCTCGGCTCATTTGTAACCCTAATTAATACATAGTTAGACTAAAGAGATTGATCATGTTATTTGAAATGAAGGAACAAAAGAAGGGAGGCAAAAAATTGGATGTGCCAGAAGTTTATGGAGGTGGAATTATAAAAATGTAGGTACAATCACAGAAGAATAATTGCTCAAGAACATTTTTTAAAAATTAAAATAACGTGCAATTTTTAATTTTATATAATAATAAGGGTTGTTTGAAAAAATGGCTTATAAGTTGATTTTTTGACTTATTATGAAAAAATATACAGTGAATTGGATTTATTTATAAATAAATCAATAAGTTAATAAATTGGCTTATAAGTTGATTTCTAAAAGAAAATTAAGTATAAAAGACAATTATAGTGAACTGGATTTATTTATAAAAAAAATCTTATTACAATTTTTGGTGATAAATTTATTATTGTAAAAATATATATATTTTTTAAAAATACAACAAAATGCATATACTTTTTATATTATATTTTTAATACAAACTACGACAAATAAACTAAAATTTAATGAAAACTCACACACAAAAAAAAAAGGTAAAAATATTCTAACTATTTTTATTATTTTGATAATTTTATTGGTATCATTATTATTAAAACGAGAGGCAAATATTTAAAAAAAAAAAAGAAAAACTCACAAAGGATAACAAAATATACCTACAAATAATTATTCCCAAGTATAAAAAGAAAATATAAATATATCATATTTAATCTTTTTAATTTTTATTACTGAATGATATTTGTCACTTATATATTCCATGATTTCTGTTATTCCTATTTTGAGCGGGGGGTTTTTCTCTCACAAAAAGTTTAAAAAAAAAAATAAAAAATAACTTTTAATTATCTTTTCAAAAATAGGTTAAATACCTTTCAACTTTTGACTCACTTCTCTCTCTCTCACAAAAATTGTACGGGGAGGAAATAATTCTCCTCGTATAATCCTGTTGACCAAGTCCACGCTCCTCCGTACGACGTCACTTTGTCACCTGAAAACACAAACGTGAGCTAGCCGGCGGGTGTGTGCCGGAAACCTCTCCGATGCCTAAGTCAGAAAACTTGACAAATAGACAAAGCTCTAAGTTCTCAGAAAGATTGTGTTCAATTACCTCCTCCAAGGTGTTGCTTGTGAGCTTTTATAAGTTTCGTATGGCACAATCCTAGTAGGACTTGTACTTCTCCATGCAGAGTCCTCCTAGGATTCATTCTCCTAAGGATAATGCTTATCCTTTTGCACCCTCCCCCACTGCTTAAACCAAGTGGGATGGTTTTTTATATGACCGAACTTCCACGTGACCGAAGTAAAATTGGCTATACCGAGCCACAGAGGGCCGAACTATACTTAGCTCGGTCTGCTCCTCTAATTGATTACTTCGGCTGCCCTGTTTGACCTTGATGTGCTCAGTTCAAACTTCCAAGTAGCAAGTTCTGACCGTCCCAACCACTGTATGTCACGACCGGACTAATTCTGAAACCGGTCTTCCCAGAACATACTGCGGCCGGACTAACTCTGAGACCGGCCTAACTCCGAGTTGTCTCCGGACCGGAGTGGCTTTACTCTTCCTTGGACCGGAGTAATCTCACCTCCTCGGGCCGAAGTAACTTTGTCTCCTTAAGGCCGGAGTAACCTTGCCCCTAGGCCGAAGTAGCCATTACGGCCTTTTTACTTAGTCCTTCGCGTTTTGGGCCTCGAAGCCAAACTCGGAGCTCGGCCCAATTTTTCCCAAAAATTACCCTCTCAATTGCCCCTTAATTCCATCTGTGCAACAAGATTGGGATTACCAGTCTGCTGGCCGAGCTAGAGTTTCATTAGGCTTTTTCAGCCGATCTAAAAACCCTTTAGCCTCTCTAGCCGATCTAACTTTACCTCGGATATCACTATGTCCGGTCAAAAACGTCTCTTCAATCACAGCGACTGTAACGCTTCTCATTCCAATGACACGTGGCAGGCTCTGATTGGTTAAGGACGGCTGTCACGCCGTCTTCGTGCTTTGTGATCTTGAAACAGTTCCCGCCCAAATTTTGGGCTTTCTAACAAAAGTAATTCCTAAGGCTAGGGTCTCTTCACTTTTGCTATTCCTTCGTCTTCTCTCTCTGTTCTCTTGCTGCTCGAGTTCTGAGCTTACTGTGTTCGTGCTTCTGTTGCTGCTACTGCTCCATCTTCAGCTTCTTCTTCTTCAATCTGGTAAGCAGGTCTACCCTTCTCGCTTTTGTTACTTGTTTTTCCATCTGTTTTTGCTTTGTATGCTTTTTGCAAACATTTTTCTTCATTTGTCTGCTTTGCTCTCGTACTTTCATGAAGAAACCATAGAACCCAAGAGTATATGTCATATACCCTAGAGAAAACTCGATTTCGATCCAGAATCACATCCCAACCGAACCAGGATACTGTTTGTGTTGTGTATGTAGATAGATTTCAGAGAACAACCGAACTAGGACTCAAAGGAATAGCAGTAGTTTCTTCTCAACCACTCTAGCCAAGATAAACTCACCGGAAAAACGTGCACGTACCGAACTAGGTACTTCGGTCAATAACCGAGCTAAGGCTTTCGGGCCCCAGCCGGCTTTCTTAGTTCTTAAACCGAACTCAGAAAGCCGCCCCTAGGGGCTTCGACCGAAGTAACTTTCCTCAAACTGCAACCGACCTAGGCCTTGGGACTAAACCAGCTTTCTTAGTTTTTCTAGACCGAACTCAGAAAGCTGCCCCTAGACGTTAAAACCGGTCTAACCTGCTCAAAACCGAGTTAACAAACCTTCTGATGAGCCGAGGTAGAACCAGCCCACTGAGCCGAAGTAGGATTTGTATATCTTGCTTATAATTTGTAGCGCGGTCCCACGATCTGTGCTTAACCCCTTTGTTTTCTACCTTGCAGACTTAGGTTGCCCAGGCACTCCTACGTGTGCTCAACCGGGCTACTGAGCCAAATTTTTGTACCGAAATA